CCTGACTGGAATCGAACCTGGGACCCTTCAGTCCACAAGCCGACACTCCATCCACTGAGCCAAACCGGCTAGGGCTTGGTCCTTCTTTAACACTAGTGTTTGATCTTAAATTTCTCCTTCTTATTATGCACTCTCTCCCTAGAACTACCCGTGACCCATTATTCTTAATTTTAAAGTTCTATAGATATAATATCCTTATGTAAACCTTTCTCACAGGAATGTGGAGAGATAGTATAAAAATACATACTGTTCCTGTTCTTCAGAAAATTTATGCAGATATTTAAAGTTTTGTGAACCAGCTAAGATTATCAAGGATCTTTGAAGAAATAGAGATAGTAAATGTATTCAACTTCTAGGAAGTATAAGATGTTCTCTTTTTGCCAATAGCATTCGTATTGAAAAATGTGGAATTCTTGGTCCCATATACACTCATTGAATTAGGTACATATTAAACCACCAGGGAATATTCAGTACACTACATATGAACTCATTTGGATAATTATTGTAAACACTTAGGTATCTCCATTTACTGTGAGGAGATAGTGTCCAGATGCTGGTAGACCAAATCTTGAATTTGAGATAGATAAAATGATAGAGATGCTTGTTTAACAGTGTGTCCTTTTATATGCATCATTCTTAGTATGGGCAATGTTATGTGCTTAAGAATTTGGATATACAGAATATCTGTATATCACCAATCAAGTGGGAACTAAAAAACAGCTGCTCTCATTAAACCTGACATGTGCATTCTAATTTGCTTCAGACCCCACTACTCTCTATTGTCCCCAATTCAGCCTGAATGTCAGTTGCCACTCTTTATTATAGTTACCTTTTACTTTTCTTATTGTAAGGATATATGTTCTTATACCGATGTGTCTGTTTAAAAATGTCACCATGCCCTGGCTGGTTTGGCTCAGTGGATGGGGTGCTGGCCTGCGAACTGAAGGGTCCCGAGTTCAATTCCGGTAGGGGGCACATGCCCAGGCTATGGGCTCAGTCCCCAGTGGCGGGTATGTGGGAGGCAGCCAATTGATGATTCTCTCTCATCATTCATGTTTCTATCTCTTTCTCTCTCCCTCTCCCTTCCTCTCTGAAATCAATAAAAAAATATATTTTTTAAAAAGTCACCAAAAGAGAAAGAATGCACTATGCATCATATTTAGAATATCCCCCCCCCAAAAAAAAAATGTATACACACTTAACAGCTGATAGCTCAATTGATGTTTCTTTTCAGATTTAACCCATTGGAATTGATAATTATTCAAAGTGTTTATATATTTTTGGGACACACTGTATTTCTTGGAAACAACTGAAAATTACTTGTCATTTAATGTGCAAGCAGAATGCCTCTCCATAAGGTTTATTGTTGTTGTTTACATTTAGTTGGCTTCACTCATGAACTATATTTCTTTTGGTCCCTATTGGATTTTGATTCATCACCTCTTCTTATTGTCCTCTTCACTTCTTTATCCTTGAAAATGTTGCTAGTACATTTAGAATGATTTTTAGTGGTTACCATAGTCCTGTTTTAGTTGAATGTTTAATAATTAGTAATTTTACACTGGGTTGTAAAATATTAACATGGAAACTGATGAAGTAAAATTATTTACCTGATGGTTTAGAAGGATTAGCATAACAAAATCAGTTTAAAAGACCTGAGGGGATTACCTGCTTTCTCCTGCTGACTTCACTGGAGTTTCTTGATGAACAATAATAGAAACAAAGGCAACAGCAAGAATATAGCAAATTCTGTATTTTTAAAAAAAAAACAGATTACAAAATGCTTTCGCATACATTTTAAAATATTACAAAAAGTAGATCTAACAAGGGAGGACCTACTGGGAGGCTGGAGTTGGTGGAAATGGGCAGTTGCAGCTGGATCCCACTTATAACCTGATCTCATTTTCTGTCTGACAGAAAGTGAGATTACAATTCACCACTTCCCATTTCTAAGGTTGGGGTGAAGGGTGCATGAAGTTGCTTCATGTGGGCAATAGCCATGTCTAGTTCGTGTTCAATTTTCTTAGCATCAGCCCTGTGAAGTAACCATTTCACTTAGTATTTTTATTGTGTGAATACAGGAGGATAGGTTTTTGAAAATCCTTAAGTTTTACAGTATCTAAACTTCCAAACTATAAAACTTCTAAAATGTTTTTGTATCCAGAAAACACATTAGGTGATTATTTTTGTTAGGTGGCACTTCCTACAGGGAACTAATATAAGAATCTATTAATTTATTTATAGATAGATGGTATGTAGATGATAGATAGATAGATAGTAAGCCCTTGCTATGCGTACAACACCTGTTTGGTCATATGGAGGAAAGAAGGAAATATAAGAGTGTTATTGATGGAAGTGGGGTTCGTAGGATGCTGCTGGAGGCCTCCAAGGGAGGGTGAGGTATGATAGAAAGCTTTATTTCTGTGGAATTACACCCCTGAATTCCTGTTGGGGTCCAACCCCAGCAGGTCCAGGGGTTTCCAAAGGTGTGGACAGAGTCAGTGAAGAAGGAATGACACGTAGACAGCGTTCAGTTGACCAGCAGCCTAGCCAGGCTCTCTAGCCAGGATCTCCAGCCAGGTTCCGTGTTTTATTGTCTTGTTACATCTGTATTTATACCAGTTGATTTTAATCCTATCAATTTCTATTTCAAAGGTTAGGGCGTTTCTTATCTCCATCCCAGGGAGTAAAAATTATGTAGCTTAAGCGTGATTGTTCGTAGTTAAAGTGATTAACTACCTGCCTGGCACTTAGTTAAGGGGTTTTATTCCCTCCCTAACTTCAGGGAAAAATTCTTACCTGGGGAAACAACCTTTCTCGGAGAGGTGACCTTGGTTAAAACACATCGAGCCAAGAAGGGGAGCAAATATATTAAGAACAGTATGCCATATACGCCAGGTCCCTTGAAACATATGCTGTGCAGATGTTTCTTCCCTGCAGCGACTGTGTCAAGCAGCAAGGATGGACTGACTTTCGGAAAATTCCCAAGGTCCCATTTCCCTCAGTCCCATTATAGAAGAAGTGCAGCTGTGGCTTCAGCAGAGCAAGAATCACAGCCAGGGTCCAGAGTTTCTGCTCCATGTTGGAGCACACATCCAGTCCAGTATCAGGCTAGCTTAGTGTGTGCTCCCCACTGGAGTTCATCAGTTCATTGCATGTGGGGTCTGCAGGGCTATGTGGCCATAGGGGAACACAGGCAGAGCAAAACCACAGTAACCAGACAGCTAACAGAGTGGTGAGCCAGGAGCCAAGAAGCCACAGGAGCCACACAAGAGAACAAATTTCTTTGTCTAGGGCAGTGGTTCTCAGCCTTCCTAATGCAGTGACCCTTTAATACAGTTCCTCATGTTGTGGTGATCCCCAACCATAAAATTATTTTCATTGCTACTTCATAACTGTAATTTTGCTACTGTTATGAATCATAATGTAAATATCTGATATGCAGGATGTATTTTCATTGTTACAAATTGAACATAATTAAAGGATAGTGATTAATCACAAAAACAATATGTAATTATATATGTGTTTTCCAATGATCTTAGGCGACCCCTGTGAAAGGGTTGTTCGACACCCAAAGGGGTCGCGATCCACAGGTTGAGAACCGCTGGTCTAGGGATTATATATTCCTAAATTTTCTTGGGTTTGTAGTGGCCCTGCCCCCTCTAGCCAATGATCTCTGTTCCAAGGTTTGACTGACACGAATCTTCCCTGTCACCTGACTCACTGTGCTTGCACTCACCTGTGGTGAGCTGGCATGGCCATGGCATACTCAGCCCCACGTTGGTCACCATATGTGCCGAGACAGCTCAGCCAGGTTCAGTGAGCCTGAGAGGGGGTGGTGAAGGATTGAGAAAAGACAGGCAAGAGAAAAAAGCTGGGTCAGGTTGGGACGCTGTCCTCTCTGATGGAGAGCTAGCTACAGCACCACAGCCTGAAAGCTGTGTCTTTATTTTATAGCCAGATTCCATGAGGCAAAATAAGGGCGTGGTCAAGATGTTGACAACATTCTCTTGGGTTTCGAATCTACTCAATTACATGCACCTGAACTCTATCAAGCCCACATTACTCAGCCACGTGGGACAACAGGTTTGGACCATAGGGTCAAGCTTACCACTATAGCTTTTGGCTATAATTGTGCTGGGAGGGCTTTGCCCTCCAAGCTAGGACTTACACGTGATCATGAGAAGACTGTGCCCTCTCATTAGTCCAAGGCTTGAACCTGTCCAAACACTGTAGCCACTTTCCACACTCACCTCTCCTTTGTGGGACCCTTTCTCCCAGAGATCTGCAAGAATGGGCCTGTGGCTCCCTGGGGAGTGTGAAATTGCAGCTTTCTGGTGAAGCTGCTCAAAGGACATGCCTATAATGTTTGGCCTTCCTTTTGCTCCTTTCCTATTTAATAACTAGCTAATTATAATGGTATCAAAAGGAAACTGATTGAAAAAAGAGATGTTTACTACCTTCTATTTTATTCATAGGAGTGAGATATCACAGGTTTGTATGGTCATGAAAAGAAATAATTGAAGAGAGAGGAGTGAGAGAGAATTCACAGATTGGGGAGGCACATTGCTTGTGAACAAGATTATTCATGGGGTGTTTAATTGGAGCGTTCAAAATACCTAAAAAAGTGAATTGATTTGACCATGGTAGAAGGATATTTTTCTTAAAAAGTAATTTAGTGATGCATTTTGGCTTTTTAAATAAATGTTATATATTTTTTTGAAACAATGGTTGCTGCTAATAATGACTCAAATGCCAAATGAGTTCACCTCGTGTGCCCTTCCCAGAAACCACAGTCATCCCTCAATGACTCTGCTATGTAGAGGTCAACTACTTCAGCTTCAATTAGACATGATCTACCCAGCAGATTTAAGGGTTACATCTTACTTATAGGACTTGAATTGTAATTGTCCATCACACTAGAACATTATTAGTTCTAATCAACCCTTTCCTCTTTTACTGCTTTTATAATAATTCTAAATGCTCTGTTTTTATATAAGGTTGCCATTACCACCTGGGGCTTTTTCAGGACTCTGGAAGAATCAGGAAGCGTTCAAGCACTTATACTTTGAAAAATTTCCTGTAAGAACTTTATTATACTTTCCTTTAATCTTCTTATAGACCTCTATAGTTCTTGGCAACTTGCTCCTAAGAGTGTAGATGACAAAGCAACCTTGAAAAGATGTCTGGACCAGTTTCTAGATTTCAGGGATAATAATGCCCACACTACATAAGGAAGTCATTTTTATACTTATTTTTATTACTCTCCAGACATAAATTTTCTCAGTTTGTTTTAGAAACTTCTCCTGCAATTTAACAGCCCTCAGTATCAGAAAAGTTTTTGTGAGAGTTAAACTTATTTGGGCTCTCTACTAGTATATTATTTCCTCCACTGGACTCCGTCAGAGATTGAAAGCACCTGATCAGAATTATATACTATCATTAAGATCCCTTCTGCTCCTGGTTATTGAGCAAAAACAATTGGCTTGTCAGAAGTTGTATCTTTCCATCTCTTTTCCTATTTTTGACATTCTTTTCTGTGTGTTCCCTGAGTTCTTTATTTTAAAATCACATTTAAAAATACAGATACAGGATAAAGACAGTGTTCTCAACAACCAGCACCCAGTGACCTGGATAACAGAAAGTGTCTTCCTGTTTTCTGTTTTACAGTGTACCTGTTCCTCTGTGCCACAGTCCTGTGTTTTATGTCTATAACAGAACTTGATTGATAATACACATCAGGTCCCACAGTCATCTTTTTGCTGTCATCTCATTTCTGTTTCCTTCCTTGAGAGAGATACGTGGTCCTCATGATGCACTAGGTAAAGAGAATGTTCACAATTTCATTAAAAGGAAAAGGTGAATCTAGGTATTTAGCATTCTATCTTTTTTATTTGTGAGTGAAGGACAGCTAACCTAATCAACCAGACAAATGACAGAAATTAAAATAGCTTCCTTTAGAAAGAGACCTCACAGGCAAATGGCCTCAGTAGCCAAGATTAAACATACCCCTGAGGGACTGTGGCGAGGAAGATCTGTGAGTAAAGTTGACACCAGTCAGTCCAGTAGATCAGTCCAGTCATCAGAATACTGGTATGGTTAATTCCAACCTGCCAAAAGCAAATACTCTGTGCATGTGGTTTTAACATGCTCACCTTTAACACTGAAAGCTTTTTCAATGTCCCAGTTTATGTTTAAACTATGGGTAGTGAATCTGGACCTTGTCTTGTTATCCTGATCTCAAATCTCTCATCTAAGGGGTTAATAACAGCACAGAGGATTGAGTAACTTGACCATAGTTTAGAAGTAACAGAGCTTACATTTGAACCCATATAATCTGGCTTCAGAGTCCCTGCTCTTGAACTAATACTACAGATTCCCTCTCTAACAGTAATTGCAGTCGTTATTGCAATTAGTGCCAATTGTTGAGGACTCATGTTGCACCAGGGTCTGTCCTCTTTACATGCACCATCTCCTTTATGCCTCGCAAAAGCCTTATAAGATGAGCATACTGAGTGTGAGAAAGATTAAGAAACACAAATAGTGACTCACTGGGATCAGTTCCAAAGCCCATGCTCACAAACATAGGTATCAAGATAACAGAGGCATTAGCGACATCATATTTATTTCTTTGTACTTATTCTTCTTGACTTTTCATTCTACATGACTTCTAGACCAGTGAGGATGTACTGCTCCCTTGAGTTGATTAAAAATTTAATTTCATTCTGACTACTTTACTATGTTTCACTGAAGCGAGATTTCAATCCTAATCCATGTTAATAAACTGTGCTCTGTTTTATAATTATTCATAGAGAGATTTAAAGCTTTTAATTATTAGCACAATTAGAGAATAAATCTGCCAAAGAATTACTTGGCGATACCAAATTGGAAATACTGAGCTATTACTTTTCACTTTAAAAAAAAGAAATTTGGTTCATAAGCTTTACAACTCTAAGTTCAAAAGCTTAACTCAAACACATATAAGAACATTTTAATTTATTCCTGGTTATTAGTGGAGCAAAGAGTTTCTATTAAGCTTTCAACAATCAAAAGTAATTTAATTTCATAGGCATTTGAAAAAAGTCAAATGCATACAATAAATTAATTTTGTGACATTTTATATATTTTATCAGCCTTAAAAATGATTATGTTACCCAATAGTATATGTTAATTAGAGGTTATTTATTCTGATTTTCAGGGATATTATGACACCATGGATGCTGGTTACATGGATGAAGAAGGTTATTTGTATGTTATGTCACGAGTTGATGACGTGATAAATGTTGCAGGTCACAGGATTTCTGCAGGTGCCATTGAAGAGGTATTGATGAATGTTGGTCTTCTATGCTGGGTAATGTTTAGGAAAAGAGCTGAGCCAAAGTCAGTATTGAGTTTAAATTATTCAACCTGGAAAATCACCACACTCTTCATTTGAAGCTGAGGCTAGGTTACTCTATTATCTCACCCAACTTCCTCTCCTGTGGTTTTTCATGTTCTCCATACGCACCCCCATTCCTGTCTGAGTGACAATACGAATCTTTATTTATATTATGTTATTTATGGGGCAGGCTATATACACTTGTTTTTTGATACTTGCGCTTTGATTGCTTCTAGCTTCTTGATTTTTCTCCTGCTTCATAACCAGGTTTGTGCTTAGTCTTAAAGTGGTGTAAATTTAAACACTTAATTATACTCTTAAATCATGAGAATTTTCTGCCAATATAAGTTACACAAAGTACCCAGAAGAGATTTTTTTAAATGTTTTTAATTTTTCATCTTTACATAGAGTAAAATCCACTTTTTGTTGTATAATAATATGAGGGTTTTTTACTTGTATATATTCTTGTAACCACCACCATAGAAGGGATACAGAAAAATGTCAGCGCTTTCAAAGAATTTCTCCATGTCATTTTCCTACTCTGACCCTCTCTATTTCTAACCCCTGCCTGGAACCCACTGAATTTTTTGTTTCATTGTTTATGCATTCTCTAGAATGTCCTATAAAGAAATAACACAGCATGTAACCTTTTGAAACTGGGTTATTTCATTCAGAAAAATACATTTGAGGTCCATCCCAGTAATTGTGTATATCAGTAATCTGTCCTTTCATATTGCTGTGCAGTATTCCATCATATGGCTGTGCCAACCAGTTTATGTACTCATTCACCCAGTAAGGGATATTTGGATTGTTTCTAGCTTGAGGCAATTAAAAATAATGCTGGTATATATATTCAAGTATAGGATTTTTTGTACAAAAATTACTTTTTACTTATCTATACTAATAAAAGGCTAATATGCTAAATGGACCGGATAGACTAGATATCCTTCCGGACAAAGTCACTGTGGCGGGGGCAGAGGCAGTTAGGGGTGATTAGGCAGGCAGGTAGAGCGGTTAGGGGCAATCAGGCCAGCAGGGGAGAGTGGTTAGGGGCGATCAGGCAGGCAGGCAGAGGGGTTAGGGGTAATCAGGCAGGCAGGAGAATGGTTAGGAGCCAGCAGTCCTGGGTTGCAAGAGGGATGTCTGACTGCCGGTTTAGGCCCTATGCCTGTGGGATCGGGCCTAATCCGGCAATTGGACATCCCCCAAGGAGTCCTGGATTGGAGAGGGTGAATGCTGGGCTGAGGGACCCTCCTTGCCATGCATAAATTTTGTGCACTGGGCCTCTAGTAAAAGCCTAAGCGACCAAATGACCGAACAACCAAATTGGTCGCTATGATGCACACTGACCACCAGGGACAGACACTCAATTCAGAAGATGCCCCCTGGTGGTCAGTGTGCTCCCATAGCGGGAGTGCCACTCAGCTGACCAATGGGTGCCAGGCAGAGGCAACAGGCCAAGTGGGGCTGGGATGAGTGGGAGTGGCGCGGCATCCCGCCCCAGCTCCGGCTCCTCCCCGACCACTTTGAGCACTACTACACCCCTCGGGGGATATCGGACTGCTGGTTTCCGATATCCCGATATCCCGATATCCCCGAGCGGTCCCAGATTGTGAGAGGGCTCGAGTCAGGCTGAGGGACCCTACCGGTACATGAATCTGTGCCCTGGGCCTCTGGTTTATGATAAATACCTATAGTTTACTAGGTTATATGGTAAGTGTATGTTTAGGTTTAAAAAAACCTGTTTTCTAAATGCTAAAACTGTTTTCTAAAATGGCCATGTCATTTTTACATTCCACCAGCATTGCCAGGGTTCCTCTTTCTTCCCATCTTCATAAACACTTGTATTTGTCATTATTTTTTATTTTCACCATTTGAATAGATATGTAAGAGTATCTCATTATGCTTTTAATTTCTTTGTCCATAATGGCTAATACGTTGGACACCTTTTCATATGCTTATTTGCCATCCTTATATCTTTTTTTGGTGAAATATTTGTTAAAATCTTCCACCCATTTTTTAAAAATTGGGTTGTTTTATTATTGTTAAGTTTTGAGAGTTCTTTAAATATTCTGGATACAAGTACCTTGATATGAGATGTGCAAATATTTTCTTACAGTCTGTGACTGGTCTTTTTATTCTATTGAAAGTGTTCTTAACATAGCAAATGTGTCTTTTATATTGATACTAGAAGCCTGGTGCATGAAATTCATGCACTGGGGGAGTGGGGAGGTCCCTCAGCTGGGCCTGTGCCATCTCGCAGCCTGGGACCCCATGGAGGTTGTCCGGGATCCCTCATTCCTTACTGCCTGCCTGCTCGCTGCTCCTTACCACTCGGCTCACTGCTCCTTAGTGGCAGGCTCCTTACAGCTTGGCTGGCTGCTCCTTAGTGCTGCCGCAGAGGCGGGAGAGGCTCCCACCACTGCCGCTGTGCTCGCCAGCTGTGACCATGGCTTCTGGTTGAGCGGCACTCCCCCTGTGGGAGTGCACTGACCTTGAGGGAGCAGCTCTTGCGTTGAGCACCTGCCCCTGGTGGTCAGTGCACATCATAGTGACCAGTCGTTCCAGTCATTCCGCCTTAATGGTCACTTAGGCTTTTATTATATAGATTTTGATTTTGGTGTTGCATCTAAGAATGATTTTCTAACCCAATATCATAAATACTTTTTCCTTTGTTTTCACCTAAGAGTTGTATAGTTTTACATTTTACATTTAGTTTTATGGATTTGCTTTTTATATTAGTTTACATTTATGTTTTTAGGAATTTTTTTGTGTATGATGCATGATGTACATGGAGGATTATGTTTTTTAAATATGGATGTCAGTTATTCCAAGCATCATGTGTTGCAAAGACTGGCCTTTCTCTGTTGAATTGCCCTTGCATCTTTGTCAAAAATCAAATGACAATATTTGAGTGGGCCTATTTTTAGAGTATCTCTTCTGTTTAATTGATTTATGTGTTTATCTTTATCATCAATACTATTTTGTATTCAGACTGTAGCTTTATAGAATGTCTTATTAAAGTTGAATAATATCCACATTTGCTTTTTCTTCACAAATGTTTTGGGTGTTCTGGCCTTCTTTTCTTTTTTTTTCTTTTTTCTTTTTTTTCTATATATACTTTAGAATGAGCTTTTGGATTGTTACAATAATTCCTGCATGAATTTTTATTAGGATTATGTTAAATCTATATAGATTGATTTGGGAAAAATTGTTATTTTAACTACACTGAATCTTCCAATTCATAAACTTTGTATGTCTCTCCATTTATTTAGGTCTTTTTGATAGGTTTTATCAACATTTTGCACTTTTAATTTACAGAGTGTGATCATAGTTTGTTAGATTTATACCTATGTATTTAATATTTTTAGCTATTATAAATTAAAATTTTGGGGGTTTTTCAAATTTTCATAGCTAGTCCATAAAAACACTATTGATTTTGTAAACTGATACATATCCTGTGATCTTATTAAACTCATTACTTTAGGTTGTTTTTGTTTTGTAGATTCCTTTTGATATCCTGTGTGGACATTAATGTCTGAATAGAAATGGTTTTAGTGTTTTCTTTCCAATCTGAATGTCTTTTTTTTTTCTTCCTTTCTTGAAATGGCTAGAACTTCCAATATGATATTAAATAAGAGTAGTGAAAGCATACAGCCTTGTTTTATTCATTATCATAGGGTAAAATAATTTATATCTTGACATTAAGAATGTTATAACCTATAGGTTTTTCTATAATAGATGACCTTTATCAAATGAGGAAGTTCCCTTCCATTACTAATTTGCTAAATTTTTAAAAAATCTTAAATGAATGTTGAATTTTGTCAAATGCTTTATGTGCCTGTATAGATATGAGTGTGCAGCTTTTATTTTTAATCCTGTTAACATGGTGAATTATATTAATTAATTTTCAACTGTTCAGCCTTTCATTGCTGGGATAAACCTCACTTAGTTGCAATGCATTATTGTTTTTGTATATTGATTTAAAAAGGGTAATATTCATTGTTCGGAAGTTAGTTTTATTTGATAATTATATAGCAACTTTATCTTCTATGGATAATATTTATAGAATATTGTCATCTATCTTTTTCCATTCTTTCATTTTTAATCTATCTGGATAATTATGCTTCCTATGGATTTCCTGTAGATATGAAATAGTTGGATTTTGTTTTTATCTCTATCCAGTCTTGTAGTATTTATCTTTTAACTGGTGTCTTTAGATCATTTACATTTAAATTAATTATTGATATATTTATGTCTACTAGTTATTAGTTGTTTTTGTTTGTTTGTTTTGCCTTTTCTCTTTTCACTTCCCCCATATCAGCTTTTCTCTCTTCTTTTAAGTCATTTGGTGCTTTCTGTAACTTCTGTTTTTTTTTCCTAAGAAACGTTGTTCCCATTTATTCTAAAAGTGTTTGCCCATACTTCTTGGGCCATTTGTTACTTTTATCCTGAATGTGCAAAGATGTGCTCTGGATAAAAGACAGATTTCTTAATAATAAGTGTGTCATTATCTTCTTACCGCAGATCTTAATCCTAGGTGACCCATGAGAGCTGATGGGAAATGTCCCTACACGAGTAGCCAGACACTCCCTAGATGAGAAATAAGGAGAATGATTTTTCTCTTTATAAAGAGGAAGGAGGCAGCTACCTTTCACCCTCCTGGAAGAGTCTTCTTAGAAATCTAAGGGTCTGAATCCAAACTTCAACTCTTTGATATGTAAATAAAACCTCTCCTGGAGCAAGATAACCCCTTGTCTTCAGCCTTTGCAACCTAGAAATGCTTTGAGGCTTCATCTTTTTGACATGTAAATATCTAGGAAAAGAGTGATCCAGTCTCCCTCGCACCTTGGGAGTTTAACCTAGGGATTAAGCCATAATCATTTGGCCCTCTCAGGGAAACTAGAAAAATGGTATTATCCTGTTAGATCTGGGCAATTAAC